TGCATGCGGGACCATCCCTTCCTGCTTCTAGTGGAGTTCTGAGAAGCTCTCCCTGCCCCATCTTGGCAGGACGGTGTCTGTTCAGCTTGTCCAGGCCAGAACTCGGCCAATTTCCTCACATATAACAACCAGCCAACTCTCCATTGAGGAGGGCGACGGGAGGAAGAAAGAGGCACCAAGGAATGGACGGAGGTGGAGGACCCAGAATCCGGAACTCAACCTCATTTAAAATCTACAGCCAGGCGGAGTGGCTCACGCCTGTAATCCCAACACTTTAGGAGGCCGAGGTGGGAGGATCGCTTCCGGTTAGGAGTTCAAGACCAGCCTGGGCAACATGATGAAACCCTGTCTCTACTAAAAATACAAAATTAGCCAGGTGTGATCACCTGTAGTCCCAGCTACTTGGGAGGCTGAGGAATGAGAATCCCTTGAACCCAGAGGTGGAGGTTGTAGTGACCCAAGACCATGCCACTGCACTCCAGCCTGGGCAACAAAGTGAGACTCCATCTCAAAACAAAAATAAAAACCAAAACAATTAGCCAGGTGTGATGGCACATGCCTGTAGTCCCAACTACTTGGGAGGCTGAGGCATGAGAATCACCTGAACTTGGGAGGTTCAGGTTGCAGTGCGCCAAGATCCCACCACTGCACTCCAGCCTGGGCAACAGAGCAAGACCCTGTCTCAGAAATAAATAAATAAATAAAGTAAATAAAATACAAATAAAAATCTAAAACACCAGGTCTTCAGATTTGAACATTTCTTCCCCCAGTCCTTTGGCAGTAAGTATACTGATTGCTCAATAAACGAGAAAAGGGCCCCAAGAACCGCAAGTCTCAGCTAATTCGGCTCTGGACACCCAGGAATTGGCAGCTGGGAATCCCATTCCCTGGGTGTCAATCATAATCCATGGCGGGGCCTTTGATCCCTAAGCACAGGATGAGCAGGCACTTATTCTTCCCCTGCAAGGCACCGATCTCTCTATTTTGTTTATACCTATCTATGTGGCCATTCTTCCCAGCTGTGGGGAACTGGATGAGCACAACAGTGCTGACCTCAAGGAACTGTCTAGTGAGCGCAACATCTTATCAAACACTTCAGATCAACATGTGCAATTATCACAGCGTCAGGAAGGGCGCGGGGCAGCAAGTGGCCTTGTTCACGCGGACAGAAGGAGAAATTGATACAACTGCTATGGAAGGCCAGCGAGCAGTACATATCAAACGGAAAATGAACTAGAGATTCTATTTACCCTGCAACTACACGGGCATGTCGGTGAAGTGATGTGATTTCCATTCTGCTGATGTTACAAAGGATACTTCAGCGCCTGTCAGCTCACGATGGTTTCCACAAATCACTGTCACCATAAATAGAATACCATGAAATCAATACAAAAGAATGAAGTGGCTTTATTTATTTTTTAATTTTTGAGGCTGAGTCTGTCGCCCAGGCTGGAGTGCAACGGCGTAATCTCAGCTCACTGCAACCTCCGCCTTCTGGGTTCAAGTGATTCTCCTGCCTCAGCCTCCTGAGTAGCTGGGATTACAGGGGCATACCACCATGCCCAGTTAATTTTTTTGTATTTTTAGTAATGACAGGGTTTCACCATGTGGGCCAGGCTGGTCTCAAAACTCCTGACCTCAGGTGATCCATCCACCTCATCCTCCCAAAGTGCTGGGATTACAGGTGTGAGCCACTGCGCCCGGGCCAAAGTGACTTTAGACCTATGTGCTAATGCGAGAAGACTAGGAAGACAACCAGTGTGTCGGGCGGCAAAGCTAATGTAGAGAGAAGGTCATTTGTATGTGTGCACAAATGCATGCCTGCAAACGTGTGATCAACCCTTGAGGAACACGCAAGGAACTGACAGCAATGGCCGCCTATGGAGAGGACTGGGTGGTTAGAGGGCAGGGATGAGACACATGTCACGTAGGCCTTTTATACCAGGAACATTAGTTACCTATTTTAAAAATAAGAACTTAAAATCACTTCATTCCAGTCAGTACAAAGAGGCTAGCACAGAATGAGCCTCAAGTTGTAGAAGCCCTGAGCATCAGTCCCCTGCAGAAGGCGGGAGAAGGCAGGGGTTCATCAGGACCAGAGATGGACAGGATGCATGACCGGGCTGAAGAGAAGAGGCACCTGGGAGCGCACCTGATGTCGGGAGGTTACAGGGCCTTAGGACAAATGCAGAACTGTGCATTTTCTGGGAGACAGGTGCAATGCTTTCTGCTTTCCACAGGAGAGGTTGGTCCCTGATTATGTGGGGAGTGGGACAGAAAAGGCAAGAGGAATGGTGGGGATAAGGGGTGGATTAGTTAGGAGGCCACCGCACCCCCCCGGTGGGAGGGAGGGCTCGTGCTGTCCCTGGCAGTAGTCATGGATCGAAGTGCGTCTAGCTTGGTGACCAGATACACGGTAGTTCCACACAACAGAGGATGCAGAAACAAGAGCAGGGGAATGGTCTTTGTCTTGGATGTGTCATCTGGGGGCACTGAAAGACATGGGGGTGGAGGGGTCCAAGGGCAGCTGAGCTCTGGGGACAGGGCTTTAGGTGTGAGCGCTGTGGAGTGTACAGGTACTAAAAGGGCGCCCAGGCAGTGGGAAAACGGTGAAGGGAGGGCGAGCTGGCAGAGTGGGTGGGCCAGCCGGTGTGCCAAGGCCTATGACTGTGCTCCTGCTTCTGAGACAACGGGTAAGTATACTTGGGAAGCTCTCTCAAGGGGTGGGTTCCATTCGGCCCAGAATAGAATTGGCCGGGTGCAGTGGCTCACATCTGTAATCCCAGCACTTTGGGAGGCTGAGGCCGGTGGATCATCTGAGGTCAGGAGTTCAAGATCATCCTGGCCAACATGGGAAAACCCCATCACTACTAAAAATCAGCTGGGCATGGTGGTGGGTGCCTGTAATCCCAGCTACTCAGGAGGCTGAGGCAGGGGAACTGCTTGAACCTGGAAGGCAGAGATTGCAGAGTGAAGATTGCAAAGCAGAGATTGCACCACTGCACTCCAGCCTGGGAAACAGAACAAGACTCATCTTGAAACAAAACACCCCCAAAACAAAGAAACCCCCCCCAAAAAAGAATAAGTCAGGGTCATCCATGAGCTAGCGTGGGCCCAAATGATGCCCCAGGCATGGCCTCTGATCTGTTGAGAAGGAAAGCAATTTACGCAGAGCCTCACATAACTGTCAGCTCCAAGAGTCAGTGCCTCGCAGCGTGCTTGGAGCTGGGAAGGACGCTATGTGTGGCGAGCTGCCTCTCCAGCAGCGTCAGCACTGAACGCCCTCACGATCATTCCTTCCCACAAGCTGAATGGCTGGGATAGGCCTGGCAGGGGCCTCACTAGGTCTCTCTGAGCCTTGTGATTCTCACCTCAGTGCTGTCTTGGCCTAGATTCTACCAAAAAGCAGAGCCTGAGATGAGGCTTTGTAGATGGTTTGATTTTGAAACTGATCCCAGGTTAACAGAAGTAGGGGGCCAGAAAATGTGAGGCAGGGAAGCAGTCAGCCCCAGACCATTTCTGAGCTGGTCTCCACAGAGGGCCGTGGATGGAGGCCCTAAGAAATGGCCTCGGAACTGCTGTCTGCGGCCCCCTTACTCAGAGATGCCCCTGGGGACAGAACTCCCTGCTACTTCCAGGCTGCTGTTCGGAGGTCCCCTAGGCCGCCCACCTCAGAGTGCTGCAGTCACACCTGTCTGAAGCTGGGGTTGTGGGGAGAGCCAAGATGAAGGGAAGTGAGGCACGGAGGCGACCTAATCTACACCTGTAAATGGATGTCTCTCCCCATCAGTCCGAGGAACGGGGGCCTGCAGCCAGGGCCGCCATGTGTCCCTGATGCAGGACTCACAGCCTGCCTGCTATCCCTTCCTTTGCTGTGCCCTTGCTTGTGCTCAGGTTGGGCCAGTCTTTGAGAAGGCCTTTCCCTCAACACCTCCACAGCTCCCCTCTTCCCGGTCTCAGGTATTGCCCGAGGTTAAGTCAATAAAGGCCAAGTCCAAATGGCTCCCTCATCAGTGCCCATCCTAGCAGATGTCCGGTGGCATCCTGGCAGGGGGCCGCCTCAGCCTCAATCATCCCCATTGCTGTCCTTGGAACTCATTTCCTCTTGTTCTAGACCACAAGTCACCTTCACAAATCACAGCGGATGTCTCAACGCTTTTGATCTCCACCCCTAGGTGCCACCCTCACCCCTTTCCACAGGCTCAGCTCCAGGACAGGCACTCCCTAAAGACATAAGGCAGCTGCGACCTCCCTCCCAGACCCTCCTGCAGCTGCGGCACCACTCCCTGTGATAGGGTGTGTGCAGTGCCCCCCCATTAGACTGCCAACCTGGGGAAGGCTGGACCCAGCCACCCTTCTACAACCCTCCTGCACCGTGCAGTCACACACAGGGGCCCCATCTGCCTGGACCTAGAAGTTGGGTTTCTATAGTAGTAGATACCTAGAGAGCAGACTCCGTGGCACAATGGATAGTGCATTGGGCTTCTAGCAGTTATCTAACCAAATCCTACATCCCAGCTAACAAAGGGAAGACCACGAGACCACAGCCACCGCCAGCTCCTGCTGCTACTCAGGAAACTACCAGCATCCACTCTGGGCTGAGCAGAGGCCACAGAGGCAGTGATCTCGCCTCTGCACTGCTACTATCCTGCCTCCAGGGACCAGGCCAAAAAGCCTGGTGAGGCTGAAAAACGAAAACCCACTATGGGGAGAAAAATCACTTCTTACTGAACCCTTGCATTTGAGCCCACAACTATCACAAACCATGAATTCATGCGCTTCAATTTGATTCCAACTATAAAATTTTACACAAAAAAGGATGTAGGCTCAGATAGAGCAAAAGGCTAAAAACAAAAGGCATCCCGAGCTGTGTTTCCAAAGGGTCTGATTTGGAGGAAATTAAACATTTGGAAACCCAAGACTCACTCAAAAGGAAAGAAAGAACCCCACTTTGGTACAGGGTAGGGTACTGCTTTGATGGAGAGTGGGGGTGCAGAAAATGCTTTGGTTTCGTATTTTATTACATCAATGGCTTGAAAATTTTTATTTAACCTCAGCAAATATTGGAAATAGAAAAATGAATTCTGCAGAATTTCACAAATAAATTTTCCAATTTCCACTAACAAATGTTATCATTCAATGGCTAAGCGGTTATAATGCTATGAACATTCACCACAATGAATGTGCTGAAATAGAAAACAGGCAAAGAGACATTAAAATATTACTTACAACAGCATTATTACAGCATATTTTCTTTAAAATTCCAACGTGGATTTTATCACTTCAAAAGATATACAGCATTTCCATTATATTTGCAAACTTAACCTTATACATCTTTTAAAATCTTGAAAATTTTTTAAGCAGTCTAAAAAGCACTTAGCAAAGTCGATAAGTCTACATAATGGAATACTACCCACCCCAGTGTAAATTTTCTTCTTAGGAGAAGGTGGCTGTAAACACTCATCATCATACAACATGCATCACCTCTGCTGACCTTCCTTCTTCTGATGCGACGTCGCTGCAATTGTGCTTTACTACAACATAAGAGAAGCTGCGGAGATTCAGGGAGTGGCAGAAACAGCATCGCACAGGACCGCTAGATATAGATGACCTAAACTACCTGGAGTCCATCTGAGGCAAAGTTTCACTTGATATTAAAAGCTTGAATCCTGGGTCATTCGGTTTAGAAACAGGCTAGACAAGAGAGAAAAAGAGGCCCTTGTTGGAGTTGGCTCCATCTTTTCTTAGCTCACATAAAAGCAGGGATCCAGTCAGCGTAATGCACAGTTTGGCTGATTTTTGGTGTGCAATTATACCAATAGTACGTCTGATACTTAGAATGACAAAAATAGGGCATAGCTGAAATTTAAAGTGACAATGAGCACAGCTAACAGTGGTGTGTGGTATTTGAGGAAACTTTCTATGAACAGAAAACCACTGCTTAATGAGTCCACCACAGTAAGCTTTTACAACCCAACTACCTTTTCCGTTTTGTTTTGTGTGTTGAATAGAGGTTTGTGAGCATCAAAAGGTCTTATAGATAAAAAATGATCAAAAACCATTTTGAGGAAGCGGCGTCTCCACAAATTCTGTGCACCAAGATAACGCGGCATTGCGTTACACTAACCTCCGGCTCCTGCCAACACCAGCACCCACCTGTGAGCCACCACGAATGTAATCAGCACAACTGGGGCGTGGTTCCTTCCCAGTTAAAAGAGCTATATTACAGAATGGATCACTGTTGCAGACCAGTCAACACAATATTCAAGTAACAAGGTGTTTAAATGGATAAGTGAAAATAAGTTTACCTAACACTTTACACATCTACATAAAATTAAATAAAACAAACTTTTAATGCATATGTAATACAATTTATATCTTTTAGGGTTTCTAAACTAAAAGTTTAAAACTATTATTTGCATCAATGATACTATATTTTGCACAATAACTTATGAGAAAAATTTCCACAAAAATATATATAATTATGACATTCACATTGATAACTTTTAAGAAGACAAAGTTTAAGTGAACATTCCATCTGAAGCAGTTACCACATCCCAAACCCTACCTGCCAACGCACCTAATTCTTGATATGTTAAAAAGTCTTCACATAAATAACCAACCACTTCGCTTTTAAAGCCAAGTGATTTCTTACATTTACATCATTGCAAAGACAGTGTAATGAAAAAAAGTTGAAAACAGTGCTATCTTACGCAGGAAACCACAACAAAGGCAGTCAAGGACAGCTACCTCTTTTCCCCGTCAAATGAAAACGACATGCCCCTGCCCCTTGGGGAGAAAGCCTAGTTCAGCTGCTGTGATGATCTCAAGTGATTCTTCAGGGCTGGGGGACCACTCAATGCCAGGAACCAAGTAAGGGCATAGTGCAGAATACAGATCAAGGCCTGGCACTCGTGGCTGGCTTGCCACGCTATGTAAGAATTAGCATCAAGCTTCCAAATGCTGCCAGAAGGGATCAGGCTATTTTTCCTTACGGGAGACACAGACCTACTGGCTGGGCAAGAAACGCACTGCAGCAATTGCCTGCTGCTTCTGTTACAGGAAGGAAGTCTTGAGGGAAGCAAGGAGAACCTAAAGCTTCGGCTCATACCTTAGTGTCCCCTTTACGCAATGTGCAAACTTAGGCTGACTCCTTCTCATGCTTCTCCCGCCGCCCTCGGTGTACACAGCAGGCTTATGGTTTTTTGTTTTTGTTTTTGTTTTTTTTTTTTTTTTTTTAAAAAAAGGCCTTCCCTCAACACTAGTGTTATTTTGCTAGCCCTGTCTCCAGGTAGCAGCGACAACTGGGACTCCTCTGCTGCTTCCCAGGCGCTTATGTGACCAACACACACCTGGTACGGGAATGAGATGATGAAGGGCGGGCAAGTCCCATTGTACTTCCCTTTTGAATGACCTTTCTCCAGACTATACTAAAATGCAATTAACAATTCCAAAATACCTAGGTTTCTAGCTGACCCTCTTTCTAAAGGGAAAATCAGCTGACTTCAACAACAACAACAACAACAAAAACAAGGTGCTTGGGAGTCAAAACATATCAAATTTTAATTGCATATTTTAAATTCTTAAGAATTCTGTTTATGCCTTAAAGCATCTGCATTTTTTTTTTTTTTTTGGTATTGAAAGCAGAAAAAAATATTTAAATGATGCAAACAACAACAAAAGCGACTTCAACGTATTTAGTGCAGTCTGAATGGCCGTGGGGTGGGAACAGGGCATGTGAGAATGCCGTCTGACAGTCTGCTCCTCAACCCTCAGCGGCCCATGGTCTGGTAAGATAACAAAAGTGATTCTGGAAGTCTCAACATGTTTATGAGAAAATTTTACTTGTTCCCAGTCCAACCAAAAGGCATTACAGACCACTTTGTAGGTGATTTCTCTTCATCTCAGTCTCACTAGACCAGTACATTGATCACTTCTCTGTCCTGTACTCTGATATTAAGAGTGTGGATGGTGTTTGTGTCATCACATCAGCACATGAAGGACACACACGGGCATACGGAGTGCCACATGAAAGGCCAGGCGAACTGAGAAAATGCGGAACAACATGCAGCTTTCAGAAACCAGCGCAGCTATTCTAACATTCTGACACTGACATTTACAATCTGCTCTGTCAGAATCTGCAGCAAGCTCCCGTCTCCTCATCTCAGTGATGTCATCTTTGGCTAGCAAATAACTTGAAAGAAGAAATAAGACACTAAAACAGAAAAAGGATTGATACCATGGTTGCCAAAAGGAGAAGGCACCAATTCCAAATGTACAAGCACCAGGTACAGTGATGTGGGCCAAACCTCTTGGAGGTGGGGGTGGGGGTCAGGAAAAGATGGGGTGGTACCCACCCTGGGGTCACAATGCTGAAAAGTTGAAGGCAGAAAGCATTGAGGTCCACGTTCCCTTTAAGCTAGTGTCCAAGGACAGTTGCAGTGAATGAGCTTTGTAACACTTGGGAAGGGAGAAGGAAGAGATTTAAGCCAACTCAATTTACAAACTGTAACTATACCCCATGTTTAGGAAAATGTGAGTTGCATCAGGATGCTTGGCATGATAAAGGTTATGATGTAGTCTGGTAATATATTGTGATTTCCAAAAAAAGCAGATTATCACTTAGGTGGCTGTCTCAGAAAAGAACAAGAGAAACTTTCTAGAACGCCAACAGCGTCGCGGTTACTCTGAAAATTACTCTATACACAAAGTAGAAATTGCAGGCCATGCAGGAACAGAGTCGGGCCTTCCGAGGAGACTGCCTGCTCTGAAGCTGCTGACTGGGAAGAGCTGCCATTGATGGGGCTCAGGGGCTCCGGCGGGGGAGGCGGTTCCCAGAGTCACAAGAGATGTGCAGGCCATGAGATTCCCCAGCACGGAGGCAGAGCGCGAGAGATGCAGTGGAGCTCTCTGGGAAGTGGCGCCAACATGGAGGAACGAGCAAAGAATTAAGGCAGATGGAGCACAGGACTGGAAGGATATGCCTTTTTTGGTAATAGCTGCTTGTCCAGAGAGATGTGATGCAGATGGCTAGGTGATGTCTCGTAATACCTGATATCCCGGATAACACAGTAGTCCACACCAATTGTTCAAAGCCACCAGAGTTCCTCAGGAGGCAGATGTATATCTGACATCCAGAACAGAAGGAGCCTGAGGCCAAGAGAAGAAAGAAAAAAAAAAAGGATCAAAGAAGAGGTAAACAGCACAAGCTGCTATCTCCAGTGTACTGAAAAGGAAGGGGGTAGCCAGCAAACCTGCAGAGGAAACACTGTGTTGTTTCTTTTTTTTCCTGAGACGGAGTCTCACTTTGTCACCAGGCTGGAGTGCAGTGGCGTGATCTCGGCTCACTGCAACCTCTGCCTCTTGGGTTCGAGCGATTCTCCTGCCTCAGCTTCCTGAGTAGCTGAGGCTACAGGCCCGTGCCACCACGCCCAGCTAATTTTTGTATTTAGTACAGATGAGGTTTCACCATGTTGGCCAGGCTGGTCTCTATCTCTTGACCTCATGATCTGCCTGCCTCGGCCTCCCAACATGCTGGGATTACAAGGATGAGCCACAGCGACCAACCCAAACACCATGATGTTCTTAAGGGCAGGGCAAGTGTGTGGCCTCTCCGGCCAGGCATCCTGGCCTTGAATCCCAGCCCTCCCACATTCTAGATGTCTTTTTGAGCTTCAGTTTCTTCATGTGTAGAAGATACATAGTGATATCTACTTCACTAGGATTAAATTTAAATGCCTGAAAACGGCCCAGCACAGTGGCTCGTGCCTGTAATCCCAGCACTTTGGGAGGCTGAGGCAGGAGAACTGCTTGAGGCCAGGAATTCAAGACCGGCATGGCCAACAAGGCAAAATCCTGTCTCTACTAAAAAGAAATATTGGCCGGGCATGGTGGTGCCCAACTGCAGTCCCAGCTACTTGGGAGGCTGAGGCACAAAAATCACGAGCTCGGGAGGTGGAGATTGCAGTGAGCTAAGATCATACCACTGCACTCCACTTGATCTCAGCAACAGAAAACTCTCTGTTTCAAAAAAACAAACGAACAAAAAAACCTGAAAAGGTCATACAAGCACAGTAGCAGCCCTAACTCCTCTCACTGGCTTGAGGGCAGGCTGTGGCACCCACCGTTTGGCGCCCAGCCACTGGCTCCAGCTGGGATACAGGAGCCCATATGATCTCAGGACTATCTTTAAAAGCTATGTGGCATTTCCTAACTCCCCTCTCCTATTTTTTAAAACTGACACCCAGACTCAAACCTAAATAAAGGTTACATGGCATCTTGCTGCTCTCTGCCACTTTCACAGTGTCTGAGTGCTAGAGAAACAACTGGGCTATGCGTCCAGAATCTGAAAGTGATTGTTCTTTCAGTTAAAAATCATATGATTTCTAAGTTAAATCAGGAGATTTCTCCTCACTGGTAATATACTCAAATCATTTCATAATTTTATGTGAGAATCTTTCTCTCCAACCCATGGCACCCTTTTTTAATGAGAGGTTGGATGTGACACCATCCCCAATCCACCCTTGCCCACTTCAAATAACTCTGAATTTCAAAAGCTCAAAATGCCCTTGGGCTACCTACCCGCCTCTGAGCTCTGAAGGAAATAATCTACATCTGACAGACCATTCTGTTACTAGAACTTTGAGGAATTCTTATGTTCTCCCTATGGGTTCTGCCTAATACATAAAACCTGAGGGCAGAGGGGACAGGCAGGACACCATCAGACATCTTTCTCAGCTGCTGGACTCCACAGGACAAATAAAAAGGCGAAATTACACACACCCCAAGTTCTGTGGACTCACCAGACAGACAAGTAAGCCAGTATTCTAACAAGTTCCCCTAGGCCCTGGGACACAGAGAAGCAGATGGTCACTAGATTAATTTCCTTCTGCAAACTAACATATGGAGAACAGAAAACCAGGTGATGGCAGGGCACGGCTGGTACTACAAGAAACTAAAGAAACAGGCCGGGCGCAGTGGCTCATGCCTGTAATCCCAGCACTCTGGGAGGTCAAGGTGGGTGGATCACTTGAGGTCAGGAGTTTGAGACCAGCCTGGCCAACATGGCGAAATCCCGTCTCTACTAAAAATACAAAAATTAGCCGGGCATGGTAGCGCACGCCTGTAATCCCAGCTACTTGGGAGGCTGAAGGCTGAGGGAGGAGAACCACTTGAACCCAGGATTTGGAGGTTGTAGTGAGCCAAGATTGTGCCACAGCTCTCCAGCCTGGACGACAAAGAGAGACTCTGTCTCAAAACAATAAAAAGAAAGAAGGAAATGTATGAGGGGGTACATTTTAAATGACTACCGGAAAGTTTTTAAAGAGACATAAGGACTATGCAGCATTAAACACGAGTTAGATAATACCATTCTTCATTTTGTTTTGCAGAGAAGCTAGGTAAAAAAGACGTAGAAGATCAACTACGCAGGAAAAACTATGATCTGTTGCTTGGAGGAGGCAGAAGTAGACTGGGAAAGGAATGCCCATGCTTTGATGCGCAATCCACATGGCAAGCAGACCATTATGGAGGAACCTGGGCTGATAACAAGGTTAAAAAAAACTATCTGACTCACTTAAGTCAATCAATGATCCAAGCATGAGAATGAAGGAAAAAAAACATATGCACAACAATGGACATCCTGTTGGTAATGACTCTTGGTTCTAAATTTCCTATCAGATTTGTTATGCCGGCCCAGCTAGCACTGGCTTTGATCAAATGTGAAGACGGAATATAGCCAGAGTTCCTGACTGTTTCTGCTTCCAGTCATCCTGGGAATGAAGCCGGAAAACACACACAGGAAGCAAGCTTTCATTCCTGCAAATCCTAATGCTTCTTCCTCAGCAGTCTCCAGCTTTTCAGTGCTTCCTAAACTGAGTGCTAACAGGGGCAATTAGTGCTGGGACAAAAATCACTGGAAAAAAAAAGGGAAGATGAATAAAGAAAAAAAAATCACTGCTGAAAATAAAAACACCACCATTTTAGTTACATGCCCTTTTCAGGCAGGGCTATGCATGGGGGTGACTCAGGGGTACTGACTTTGGAAATACTACTGATTTAGTACATTTATTACAAAGATTTTTTGGCAAAAGGCTCTAAAGAATCTAATTCTAAGAAAATTAATATGTTTCAATGCTGTTCTTACAGATGGCTGTGCCTTGAGGTCCTTTTCCCAGATGGCAAAGAGGCCTTGCATGGAGGGGTGGCACCATACTCCCAGGGGATACCATCTACCTTCCAAGGTACTTCCATGCTCAGGTCAGGAACCCTTTCTGGGCTGCTTCTAGGGCCAGGCTCTTGAAGCAAAATGGCAGCACACACAACGCAAAATAGGTCATCTCAAATCATTCCAGCATGGTCTGAAAAAGACTTTGATGTGAAAGTGATTTTGCTTATAAAGCTAAATTAGGGCCAGGCGTGGTGGCCTCACGCCTGTAATCCCAGCACTTTGGGAGGCCGAGGTGGGCGGATCACAAGGTCAGGAGATGGAGACCATTCTGGCTAACACGGTGAAACCCTGTCTCTACTAAAAATACAAAAAAATTAGCTGGGTGTGGTGGCATGCGTATGTAGTCCCAGCTACTCGGGAGGCTGAGGCAGGAGAATCACTTGAACCCGGGAGATGGAGGTTGCAGTGAGCCAAGATTGCGCCACTGCACTCCAGCCTAGTCAACAGAGCGAGACTCTCTTAAAAAAAAAAAAAAAAAAAAAAAAAAAAAAAAAAAAAAAAAAAAGAAAAAAAGAAAGAAAAGAAAGAAAGAAAGAAAGAAAGAAAGAAAGAAAGAAAGAAAGAAGGAAGGAAGGAAAGAAAGAAAGAAAGAAAAGAAAGCTAAATTAGTTCTTAAATTACCATGCTTATGAACATTCAGAGGCAAAGTGCTTGGCAAGTTCTTCTTTCTTATGTCCAGCCCCAGGCTCATGTGCTCTGGGAGTAGAGGGAGAAACATAACAGCAAGGCAGGCCAGGCTAGATGGGGAAATAGCAGGTGCTCCTGGCACAGACAGCAGGGAAGTGACAGATTAAACCAGGGCTATCATCCCAGAAATTATCAGCCACCATCACAGAAGTTCCAGCCAGCCATAGAACCGTTCCCATCAATATTTAAGCCAATCAGCCCCAAAGAGCATCAAAGGCTGGAAGATCTGGACAGCAGGGACAGGCCTGAGGAGCTCAGGGTTGGCGGGCCGTGAGACTCACCACTCAGTCTGTTAACCTCATGAAGATGTGACGACACATTTCCGATGACTGAGCCTCACCGACATTCCTCACAAACTTCCACCTTAGTGCTTCGTGACAGCTTTCACTGTATTTTTACTTTTTCTTTATACCCCAACCCCCTGCATCTTAGTGACTCAAGATTTCACTGTATTTAAGGAAAACAGATAATGCAGAGTATTCTGTGGCTGGAGGAAACCAGGATGAAATTAAGAATCTGCCCAGAAATTAAAATGTGAATAATACACAGGGACCAAGAACTGGAGTCAATGCATACACATTATGGTTATTTACAGGTAATAGTGAAGTTACTAATACAGCTGAAACCTAAGAATCTCTATAGCTGAAAAAATTCATCACTTTAGAAATTGGAATATCAAGCATGAACTTCCTAACAGAGAAGTGACTGTTTTGTTTCAGTTTTACCTCGTCTTCCTCTTCAGGCATCTTAATGGAATTATCTGGGGACTTCACAGGTTTCTGGTTACTGGGCCCATTGGTCTCTTCTTTACCATGTTCTGCTTCCCATTCTTGTAAAACTTCATCTATGTTGAAGCGGCGTCGATAATTAACGAAAAAGTTTTTCACTTGTACCACTGACTTGTTCCCAATCACGTCTGAGATTGCCTGAAAATCTCGGCCGTATTTCCTGATGGCTAAGGATGTAAGAAAGCATTTTTTAAAAATACAAGAGAAAAACAATTTTTTAAAACCACAGTTGAGATTTACCTCTTTAACCAGATAAGAAAACATACAGGCTTTTAATAGCAGGCACTAATTTTGTGTGCTGTAAGAGTAGGAAAAAGTACCGGTCAATTCTAGACACATTCTGGAGACGACTGACCCTGTTGTTTTGATATCTGTTTTCCCATTACATGTCACTCAACAACTGAAGTTACCCAGAAATTGCCCTAGGGCTGAGGACATTCTGCATTCACCTTTTCGGTATCGCAGGTCCAAAGTGTCTCCAACCTTAAAATCCGAACACTCTATCTGCTTCTTCTGGGGTTTTGTACTTCCTGAAGAGTGGGAGCTCAACGAGTAACTAGTAAAATAAAATACTCGCACCTTTAGAAAACTGAGAGTTCTAGGTAAGTTTTTACAACTTGTGTGGGAAAGGAGAAGAAAAAAGCCCAAAGGAATGCAGTAATCTGGCTACAATGACATCCACTAGGACATAATCATCCAAGAACCTATTTCTAAATAAATAGGGGCTGACAGTGGGAGGGGACATAACTTTTTCCCTAAAATCTACCAATGCCTCCAGACTCTTTTTTCCCCCCTTTTATAATTTAAAGTCAGGGTCTCACTCTGTTGTCCAGGCTGGAATGCAGTGCGGTATGATCATGGATCAATGCAGCCTTGAGCTCCTGGGCTCAAGCAAATATGTTGGCCTCCCAAAGTGCTGGGATTACAGGTGTGAGCCACCACCACACCTGGCCCCCTAAACCCTTTAGAAGAAAACCTTCCCCATACCTTGTACGGCGAGAAGCTGCTCTTCTGTAGTCCAACGTGCATTACATTTCTGAATGACCTGGATATCCAAATGAGTCATTTTAGCACATTACATTTGGAGATGAATATGTCCCTCTGAGTTTAATGAACCTTTCTTTTTCTCTATCAGAATTTTAACATTAATTAAGTTCATAAAACTATGTCCATATACTCTTCCAAGAGATGTATACTGAAGATGTTATCACACAGGTTTTAATTCTTAAACATGCAAAACTTGAGTATGATTTCTGAGATGATGTTAACATAATCCTACCTCTGGAAGTCGATATGGTTCTATTCCACCATCAAGTTTTTCTTTGAGGGCACTGTTTGTCTGTTTAATATTCTGGATCTAGAAGGAAAAAATAATTTTCATTTAAAAAGTAAAAACTTGTATAAAGGTATGAAAACAGAACTTAAAAATGTAAATAAACAAAATCCCAAGAGTAAAAACGTTACTATCATTTGTTGTAGCTGAATTGTGAGGTCCCTATGGTATTCTTTGAAGCATCTAACTAGATTTATTATTTGCTTGTTCAGAGCAACAGGGAAAGTACAACCAAGGAGGAGGAGATGAAAGAGCTCTCACGTATGTAGTCCTGGATCCACAGCTTCCTAACAGGTGATACCCGAGCAGCAAAACACCTACCTGGAGTCTTATATTAAAGACAAAAGAAATGCCTGGGTTTCCTACCACATAGGCTTGAGCTGAAGTAACAGAGCGGCCAGAGTTAAGACTGGAAGGCCCCGGCTTTAGAGCAGAACTGCAGGCGCAGACCCACAGCACCCCTACATCACTGTGCTGTCTACCGCTTCTACACAGGGCAGAAGTGCAGGAGTAGATTTCTTTGATGATGGGGGAGCAGGGGAGAACACAATGTCAGTTGAGTTTTCCAGAAAGTCTAACTTGGATTAAGTCTTCTCACTTCTTAATTTTCTTACAAATTATCTTTTTCCACATTACTGCCTCTTGGTTCAAGGTAATCTTTCACTGCCCTTAATCAATCAAAAGAAAGGCCACAAACAATACCAACCACCCAGGCCATGGCTGCTCTTTAATTTTCCCATAGGCCCTTGAATGAGACAGGCCACAGAGGCAGGCTACCTTCCCTCTACTCCAAGCAGAGGGCACATCTGTGTCAAGCATCAGTGAACTCTGATTCCAGCATTTTTCATCTTTGAATAATCACACAAGCAACTAAGAAAGCCAAGGGAAAAAGAGCTTGATTTTCTCAAGCAAAATGTAAAAGACATTCATAAGTAGAAGATGCTACCCAAAAATTTTTTAATTTTTTCACTTGTAATTCATCTAAATTTAAAAAACCACATGTGGGGCTGCTGGCTGACATACTAGATAGAACAATCTTAGGCTCTTGCTCAGTGCTCTTTCAGTTAACCAAAAACCCAGGAAAACTGCAAAGTGCTCTGATTACGTTCACTCAATTCCTTTTTGATTAAAAACATAACACAGTAACACAGTAACTTCTGGCAAGAAACAGTCAGGGCCTAGGTGTCCTCTTCACATTCCAGTGAAACAGACCACTCTTGTCATTCTGGCTGGGTGTTCATAGACAGTACAAAAATGGGTACACATTGCAGCACTGTGATTAAGTAACACTATAAAAGTAGCAGAGAGATTAAACGTAAAATCGTCTACAAGTTCTGAACTAAAAGCTAGCTCTAAATGCTCAGTAGCCTATACCTTTCTTCCTAATCCCTTTTTTGTACCAGAAATATTGAGGCTTTGTCATCCCAGCTACTTGGGAGGCTGAGGTAGGGGGGTGTCTTGAGCCTAAGAAGCAGAGGTTGCAGTGAGCCGAGACTGCACTTCAGCCTGGGTGACAGAGCCAGACTCTGCCAAAAAAATTAGGCTGGTGCAGTGCCTCACACCTGTAATCACAACGCTTTGGGAGGCCAAGGGCAGGAAGGATCATTTGAGCCCAGGAGTTCAAGACCAGCCTGGATGACACAGCGAGACCCTGTCTCTACCAAAAAATTTTACAAATGAACCAGGCATGGTGGTGCTCACCTGTAGCCCCAACTTCTTGGAAGGCTGAGGTGGGCAACTGCTTGAGCCCAGGCCTTTGAGGTTACTGTGATCCATGACTGCATCAGTACAGTCCCAGGCGGGACAACACAGCAAGATCCCATCTCCAAAAAACAAAATAACCACCCTACCCCCAAACATCTAGTGTTTATTAAGCAGAAAAAACAGATTAGCTGCCACCATCATGCCAACTGGAAAGAAAGTGAGTGCCAATGAAATAGGTAAGAAATAGGATGCAAAAGTAATCAGTATTTAAAGAAAAAACAAAATTAAAAATGGAAAAGCCATCCACTTGTCCTGGGGCCCTACTAGACACACCCGCCCCCAGCCCCCAACCCTCAGTCATTCTGCTTTACTGTGGGCGTAGTGATTCCTCTTTATGTCAGATTATTTCATTCTCCGCTCAGGGAAAGACCTAAAGTAACCAGCACTGTTCACTGGCTAATTTAAGAGACATGCCCAGCACCCTTCTCGCTGGTAGAGGCTGATTACGTTCTGGGAAGGAGGAAGAGCAGTACGTAACACGTGGGCACATAGAATTCAGCTAAAGAGCTTCTAGTAAGGCTTTTGCTTTTCCTGCTAAAAGGGGCAGACAGGTTAGCTCCACCCCCACCTCCTCTTCATACTGCCCTGAATGCAGATGTGAGGTTGCAAATGGCTCCTGTAGCTTCCAACATGCGGCAGCAAGCAAGATGAAAAGCCAACAGCTGAGGACGGCAGCGTAGAAGCCCTGAAAAGTACCTGGCTCCCTGAGAGCATCACAGAACATATGAGCTAACACCAGACCACTGACGAGGGGACTTCTTGCTATTTGAGAAAAATAGACCCTAAATTGTTTAAGGTGCTGTTAGTCCAGTTTTCTGTTATTTTCAGAATGTATCCCTGATATACCAAACACGGCGGCCTCCAAACAAGTGGCCCCTGTGGACTGACTGCCCATTTTGAGTCTAGAAGCACATCTGGCAGTGAACACACTACGAACTGTAGCCCTAAAAGGTTGTGGAAAGTAAATAACCTACCTCCTCTCTTCGTGAGACAGTCTTCCCTCTTCATAATTGTGAGCTACCTTCAAATTTAAAAATTCCTGCTCTTGACCCTGCTCTGAAAACCAAAGGATCTTTTCACTCTGATACTATGCAGTCAATAACACCTCTGTGGAAGAGGAAGGTCTCTTTTTCTTTCCTCAATATATTAAACAGCAACCACCAGGAGCTCATTCAGCAGAGGGAGAAAGGAGACAACATCAACGAGAGCTCATAACCTCAGAGAGAGTCCTTCCAACGCTAACAGAGCTTCAAATCTCTCTCACACAGCAGCCAGGACATTGAGATCAGGCAGGCCAAGATTAAATCTCATTTGAAAAGAGGCCCAGAAAGATTAAGTGATTCTCCTAAGATTAGAGTACAGCTGACAGCAACCATGACAAGAAGCTGCTCCTCTGAGCACACAGGGTGCGCTTGGGTCCTGGTCTGGGCTCCTTCCCTAAACCACAAGAACGACGGCCACACACCATGCTCTTCGCATCTATGAGATGACAGTCGGCCTCCTGTTTAACCTTCCAAGGGAACCACCAAGATTAACCAAAAGCAGCAAAAACCAAAAATAAACTGTTAGTCAACAACTTGCTGATGGGTTTCTGGAACTGAATTCCAGAAAGAGAATGAAAGAGCAGTACTTAACTACTAGGTTGAATTTTCAGTTTAAATGTACCATGCAATCTGATTAAAATAAGCCACATAGCAGGCAAAAACAACTATAAGGTAATTTAAAAAACAATATCTTTTATAAGAGCACCAAAAGAATACCAAATATCACAGAATAACTAACAAAAGATGTGTAAGTTCTTACACAGTAAACACCACAACACTGACAGAAATTACAGACATATACAAGTAGAGGAGTATATCATGTTCACTGATCAGGAAACTCAATAAAGATGTGAATTCTCCATTTTTGTCTATAGATACAATACAATCCCAATCAAAATTTTAATAGCATTATTTTTCTGAAAATTGATAAAGTAATTCTAAATTTTATATGGAAATTAAAAGGCCAGTGATAACCAAGATAATGTTGGAGAACTTACATTACACCAGATATCTACATTTATAAAGCACATAAAGTTAGGACAGTATGTATTGGTGAAGGATGGACAAACAGACCAAAGGAATAGAGAACCTCAAACCAGTTCCATACCCATACAGACCCTGGATGTAAAACAAAGGTCCTGCTGCATTGCAAAGAAGAAAAGTTTCTTCGGTAAATACTTGGCCAAACTGATACTCATATGAAAATAAAACAGTGATTATTCAACATGTGACAACAAATACAGAAAAACATTTCTAGATTAAAATGTAAAAGGTAAAACGACACTTCTAAAATCAGCATGGGAGGTGACTTGAGAAAGGTTAACAGAACTCAAAAACCACTAACTTGAGAAGACTAAGAAACTACCTTAACATTAAGCATTACTGTTTATCAAAAGATACCATTAAGAGTCACAGAATGAAAAACATATTTACAGTATTTACAATACAAGTTGTAGAAAACAACTCAGAGACTAAAGAACACCTTATAAACCACTAAGAAAATATGCAACCTGACAGAAAAAAACAGATGAAAGACTTGAGTAGACATGTCACAAAAGAGGATATCCACATGGTCAACAAATGGATGAAAAGGTGAGCAACTTCATGAGTCATCAGGGAACTGCCAAATAAAAAGTACAATGAGGTATCATTATAACCCATTAGAAGGGCTAAAATTTAAGACTACCAAAATGTGGCAATGATGTAGAGCAGTGGTTCTCAACTGGGGACAATCTTGCCCCCAAAGGGAATCTGGTAATGCCTAGGGACATTTCTGTTGCCACAACTGATAGGGGGAGGGTGCTACTAGCATTTAGACCAGGGATGCTGCTAAACACCTTACAGTGCAGAGGAAGGCCCAACATGGCAATAGCGCTGCAGCTGGGAAACACTGATGTGCAACCACACATAAAATAACAGGACCATTTTGAAAAAGTGCTTAGCTCTCAGGTTGAAAGAAAGCCAGACATAAAATAAACAGGACCATATAAACAGAGAAAAATCTATGGTTTTAAAAATCAGAATAGGGCCAAGTGTGGTGGCTTACACCTGTAATCTCAGCACTTTGGGAGGCCGAGGTGGGTGGATCATTTGAGCTCAGGAGTTCAAGAGCAGCCTCAGCAACATGGCAAAACCCCACCTCTACTAAAAAATACAAAAAATTAGCCAGGCATAATGGCGAGTGCCTGTACTCCTAACTACTTGGGAGGCTGAGGTAGGAGGATCACTTGAGCCCTGGAAGCAAAGGTTACAGTGAGCCAAGATCGCACTACTGCACTCCAGCCTGGGCAACAAAACAAGACACAGTCTCGAAAATAAAATAAAAAAGATCAGAACAGTGGTAACCTACAAGGAGGAGTCAGGTAATAAAAGAGAGGTGGAGCTGCTGAGGGAATGTAGCATTTCATGAGTGGAACAGTGACCAGGAGGGAAAATGCATGGGGGGCAACATTCCATTTTTTGGTCCAGATGCAGGTTACTCGGGTGTGTTCATATTGTGAAAAATCACAAAAACACAGACACATATATATATAAATATGATATTCATATGCTTTCCTATATACTTCAGAAATACTTTCAGATGACACTATATCCATATGCTTCAATTTATTATGTTCATTAAAAAGAAAAAAAAAATCAATGGGCTAGTACTCAAGATCTGTCTTAATTCTTTAGAAACAAAATGCTCCTTTCAGATTTGTGGAAAGAGAACATTCAAATATGTGATTAACAGAAACACCTCTCAAGTGCTAATTAACTCTTTTACCTCCAAGAATGGGCTTATGAGTACCTGTCGTTTGACTGAAACCAATTCCATGTCTAGTTGTCGCAGCACCGTGGTGGCAGCAGTGGCATTGGCAGAAACAGCCTCCACATCTTCTTGAGAAAGAAACATTCCTTTAGGAGGTTTCCTTTTTGCTCTATTTTTAGCTTGTGTGCTATGTTTTTCTTTTTTGACCTGAGGAACTGTCTCAGTAGGGGGCACCTGTATGATACATATACGTAATGAATGAAACAAAAAAAAATGTCAAATGATCAGTAATAATAAACATATTTATTTCCTTAACATTGCACAAAACAATCTAAGACAAATACCATGCCCTATCAGAACCAAGTAAGATCTACTAATTCTAACAGGCAGCTAACAAGACAAAATTTGGGCTATTGAGCTTTGCCTCAACACAATGGAACTGTGTTCTATTCTTTCTTGCACAAATACTTCCTTACTCTGCCATTTTAAGCCAATGAAAATAAGAATTTTCAGCTTTCTCTAGTAATATACAAAGAAAAAAATCTGTATTATCTGCTGGTGAGTTTTGTAGATGGACACACACACACACACACACACATCCATCTGTATTTATCTACATTCTACTATTACTTTTTACACACCTTTTCTTTTTGGATGACACAATTTTTAGGGCAACTTATACAACTTATTCTAAAATAATATATCTTATTTTAAGATGCATGACTGCTATTAATTTTTTTTTTTTCTGTAAAACCAAAACCTTCAGAAATGAAACACAGTAAAATCTTGTCAAGTTAAAGAATATATCACCGGATGTGGTGGCTCACACCTATAAATCCCAGCACATTTGGGAGGTGGGTGGATCACCCGAGGTCAGGAGTTCAAGACCAGCCTGACTAACATGGTAAAACCCCGTCTCTACTAAAAATACAAAAATTAGCCAGGCGTGATTGTGCACGCCTGTAATCCAGCTACTCCGGAGGCTGAGGCAGGAGAATCGCTTG